ATGATGTCGCGCCGAAGATGACTGATGTCATTCTGTACTCCTTCGGTGCTACGTCACGACGATCCCCTCGCCACAGGAACTTCAAGCTGTTTCTATCTTCTGGCCGGATGCGAACTTGCAGGAACATTTCCTTTATGTCGGCTGCCACTGCAAACGGGCCTTGCCGGAACCTCAGTAATACCCCGAAGAGCGATTGCAGTAGGTCTGGTCCCGGTAGTAAAGCGTCGTTGAGGCTTCTCCCTTTAGACTTGGCTGCAGCGTCGAAGACGATCCTTATTTTCTTCTTCAATGGATGTACCACGGAGAAATGAGGGAGGTACCATGTCTTCTTTGAATCTTCTTGTCCACCAGGTGCTTCTTCTGCATACTTGCTGTCGATTAGATGCTGGATCTGCTTATTGTATTCTGCCTTCAGCTGAGGGTCTTTGTCTATCTTCTTTTCAATGTTGAACAATCGGTTCTTGGCAGACGTGTAGCTTTCAGGCATCTGTTCATCTTCATTTTTCCATAGAAGTCCAGCTTCAAATCGACCATCTTCTAGTCTTCTGCAGGTCTTCTCTAGGATGGTAAGTGCTCTTCCTTCTGAATCCGTAGTGGGTCTTCTTGGTAGTACTCCAAGTGCTTCGATTGCGAAGTGATCCTTGATGGCTTGATGCATCTCTTCTTCTGGCGTGCTGACATGTAGACACGTGTTTAAGAAGTGCACCACTTTCGCGCCTCCAGTGTCTGACCCGTGGAGCACCCATCCAAGTCCTGTTCTTGAAGCGACTGGTTGTCCTGGTTTCCCTCTTCTTACTTCTTGAGTCACGATTAGCTCCCAGTTGTCTTGACCGATGAGCAGCTGTGGTGACTCCCCCTTATAATATAGAGAGTCAGCAATCTTCTTCAAGTGTTGACACTCTTCTATCCTTTTCTTTTCTAGGAACTGCGGTGCAAGCTTCAACTCGTCGATGGTCCGGACTCTTCTCAAGGTCTTCTTGGTCTTCTGATGAATCCCCTTCACCGTAAGGTCCAGCATCTGAGAGTCTTCCTTCCTTATCAGTCTGCCTCCAACAGTCTCGATGACCAGTTCCTCCTTTCTTCCTTGAGCGCCGATTTCTTCTGCTACCTTCTGGTCTAGCAGCGACACTGTTGACCCTTCATCCATGAGGGCCAATATCTTCTTTGATCCTTTTGACCCGAAGATTTCTATCGGAATTATCTTCAGGTATGCCCTTGCGTTGTTGACTGCATTCACCGATGCCATGATGCTCGCCACTTCTTGTGGTTTGTTCTTCTGTTCTTCCGAGGAACTTTTCTCTGTCTCGACGTGCAGCAGATGATGATGCCACCTCTTGCATTCCTTGCACGACGGCTTCTTGCAGCTCTCCTTCCGATGTGTCCCTTGTAAACACTTGAAGCAAACGCGGCTTTTCTTCACTATTGCCCATCGATCTTGCACAGACGCCTTCAGGAACTTCTGACACCCGACGAGGAAGTGTTCACCCTCACACATGGGGCAAGTCTTCTCTGATCTTGAAACCTTTTCTTTGAAGTCCTTTTCCTTAGTTGAATGCGTTGCTTGTCGATGAGTCCGTCTGAACCCGCTCTTCTCTTCTGTTGATGCATAGGCTCCACACTTGTCTGCTTCTCTGTTCAGGAACTTGGACACCAGTGTTAGGTCGGAGAACTCGCCCTTCTGTTGTTTCAATGAAGTCGTACCATCGGAACTTGAGGATCGTAGGCATCTTCTCAATAATTTGTTTCACCATCTCAGGTGAATGCAGGTACTGTGGTTTCTTCAATCCTTTTATTGCCGCTACGCTGTTGCTGATCTGGCTCGCGAAGAGGCATATGTCCCTTGGGTTTTCAGAAATCTTCGGCAACGTTTTGACCTTGTCCAACTCTGCCAGCACCAGTGCATCTGGTCTTCCATATCTTCTTCTGAGGGCTTGAATCACTTCCATCGGAGAGGCTTCGGAGTACAGCAGACTCTTGATAGCTTCTCTTGCGTTGCCCTTCAGTGCTCTTCTTAGCCGAGCCATATTCTGGACGTTGTTGAACATCGGTGCTGTATCTTCATAGACAACCTTGAAGGCCATCCACTCGCTGCTGTTGCCGTCGAAGTAGGGTAACTCGTGAATGTAGGTTGGCTGTCCTGCTGGTCCTCGCGTGGTAAGAGCTTCCTTCAATGCTGCCGTCAGTGCTTGAATTTCAATCGTAGCTCCTCTCGTTGAGGAGTTCTCTTCAGGCTTCATCTTCTGTGGCTCTTCCAAGGGGTGTGGACCTCGCATCTCTGGTTGAACTTTGTTGCCTTCCTCCAGCACAGACGTCTCGATCCAGTTCTGCACCTGTGCTGTTCTGTCTTCCAGGTCTTCATCCACGGAGTCCTCTTCTTCACACTGTGCCATCTCCAATCTGACACGGGCTAGCTTAGTTTCAGCCTGTGCTTGCTTCAACTCCAGGCGTGCCAACTCTTCCTTTGCTTCTAGCTCGCGTCTTCTGGCCGAGGAACTCGTGGTCTTCGTGGACCTGGCGCGACGACTGACCCCCATCGGTTTCAGGGTCTTGGAGGAGCCTTGAACATCCTTTCCAGGTACATCTTCTTGGCTCTTCCTGGTCATCCTCTGTGCAGCATCTTCTTTGTTGCCTTCCATAGACGCCGCCGTAGTTGCAGTCGTAACCGTAGTCTCCGTCACTGTGGTGCCCTCCGTGGTCGTGGTACCCGAAGAAGTGTTCGATGTAGTTGCAGTTCCCGATGACGCCGACGCTGACGTGACCCCTTCTGATCCCGACGTTCCATCTGTCGCGTCCCTATCTGAAGGACGGGACCCGGGACGTGAGGGGGCATCCTTCTGCGACCTGGTTACCGGCATCTTGAACGCAATCTTCTGTTTCTTCTGAACTTCTTCTAGCAGGGATCCGGCTCGAAGGACCAACTGTTTCGGACGACCAGAACCAGGGTATGTCTAGTACCCGGAGGTCGACCTGGGACAATCTCCCAGACGTTCTTGGCGTACACGGCAGTATGTCCGTTCGCTGGTAATGTACGCCACCACGCACCCCTGAATGCGTAGCTTGGGTCCCGATCCACTAGGGTTTCTTCGTTGACAGGAGACTATACTTAGAGGCGATGAAATAAAAACACAATTTTTTCCTTTTTTCTCTCTTGGTTTCGGTTCTTCCTTTTCCTTTTAGTTGTTGCCTCTTCGGTGGCTGTCTTGCGACTGACTCGAATCGAGAAATGGCTCGCCTTTTATTTGGCCCGTTAATACCTTACAGAGAGCCGCGTACTTTGAGCTCATTTTTCGAATAAAATTTCCCTAAACCGAAACCTTGAGAGTCCTTTTATTTTATGTTTTCAGTAAAACACCTTACACATATTTATTTATTTACATGCCTTACATACTATTATACAATATTAAAACATAATATTCAATATATAATAATTAATTAAAAAAGTCTTAAAACTCATATACATAAATATCTAAATTTCTAGGTTGCTACATTTTTACTATACATTTTCCCTTATAACTTTTGAACGGATAGTCCTATCGACCTAATTCTTGTTTTATTATAAGTTTTATAATAAAATCTATTATTTAAAACATAAACTATTATGCTATTGCAAGAAACAAAAAATCTCATTTTCAAGTTACGTAATTATATGCTAACATTTTACTTACGTACCTATTCCTTTCAAATTAATGTTAAATAGTCTTATATGATTCAAATAAGCAAAAAATACTCTAAACTAACCTTATTACACTAATTAGAACTTATTTTAACATAATAAATCTAATAAGAATGAGATTTCATATTTACAACAATTATTCATAATACGCTAAAATGACATTGTCCCTATATTAATACACACGTTACTCGAAGATAAGTTTTCCGTCGCCGACATAATTGTTGGAACTTTAGTGTTAGAAGTATGTTAAAATAATAAAAAAAACATAAGCGACTATAGTAAGAAGTACATATGATTACAAAAACAAATATTATTATTAATGAATTGTAATCTAGATCAAAACTAAACTTTAATAATTCAAATAAATAAAAGGTTAGCACGGCAATTAGCACGTTTATGAAATGAATAAAAAATATGTTCTTTTAAAAATGTTCAAAAATCCAAAAATACTTACCTTTCAATACTATAATCGTATTTTAAAGTACCATGAAGACACGTTTGGCTCATGTTATAGTGTACTTACTTGTACCAGCGGTCGCGGGTTCGAGTCCCGCTGGAAGCATTCATTTGTGTGATGAGCATAAATATTTGTACTCTAGTCATGGGTGTTATATTTATAATATGTGCATGTGTATCAATTATCTGGTATCCATAACACAGGCCTCGTAGCTTACAATGTAAGTAGATGGTGTTGTGTACTAATGTCGCAAGATATTACCTTATTTATTTACCATTTTGCCTAATTTAGGTCAAATTCATTTTTTAAAGTTAAGAATTAAAACAAAACTCTTTTGGTCAGCACAGAAACAAATAGGTTTATTATTCTACACTTTAATTTTTGCCTTTTTCTTTTTAAAGCAGTAACGCTCAAGGTTTTATACATAATGTATGACTAATAATAAAATTAATGAGTAAACAAAGAATCATTCGATTCTTTGTTTACTCATTAATTTTATTTTAGTATATTCATACTATACAAAAATTATACTATGCTAGGTTCATTTAACTCTAGAACACGTATTGGTTCAAACATTTTCGTGTGTAATATTAAATAAGTACATCGTTTAAGGAAATAAAATTCAAATACAAAATGCTTAAAACATATCACGATCATACTAAGTTTCTCTTCAATATCATCACTTAATTCGATCAAATGGTTTGAGTTTGAAAAAAAAATAAAAAATATAGTTCATTCGTAACCCGTCTTCGTCCTCGCCCAACGGATGGCTTAAAGTAAAAGTAGACGGCAGAATCTCCGATATATAAGCGCCAGTTCACTCCAAGGCACATCATACAACCTCAACCGTTCGCGGAGTATACAACAATCATGGCTAAGTGGAGCATTGTAAGTGTCTCGGAGTGCAGTGATAGTGTTCTGGATATCCCTTAGTGCGGTGTAATGTGGCAAATCGAATGTGGATCAATTACGTGTTGTATAACTGTTGATTTCGAAAACACGTACAACTTGTTTTGGTCTTATTGATATACATTTTTCGGGAACTACTGAACTATATTTTTTTTTAATAATTGATAATAGTTAAGAGAAAATAAAGTGGAACTAATTGATATAATATTACAGATCGCCCTCGCCCTCATCGGCTGTGCCGTCGCCGAGCCACCAGTAGGCTACAGCTACTCCGCACCCTCTTCCTACATCAGTGGCGGACATGGCCACAGCTCCCCTCTCGCCAGCGGAGGACACTACACCTCCGTCCCAGTGGGCCACCAAACATCTGAGGGCTACCACATTGACCCTCATCTATTGGAAAAAATCAGGCACATCATCCTGAAGGACGAAATCCAGAACCAAGCTTACCAATCTTCTGTAGGAGGTGGACATGGTCACGGTATCTCTTCTCACTACGGAGCCCCAGCCCCCGTATACGGTGTACCCCACGATAGAATCGTAGGAGTTGAACTCGAATCCCTCCAACAGGGCATCCAAGTCGCCCAATACCACCAAGCCGATGAAGGTTACTCCGGCGGTTACGGCGGAGGTTACTCTGGTGGTTACTCCGGTGGTTACTCTAGCGGTGGTTACTCCAGCGGTGGTTACTCCAGCGGTGGTCACGGATCAATCTCATACAGCGCACCCTCATACACCACCATCGGCGCCCCATCCGGCTCCTACGGCGTACCATCCCTCTCATCATCATACGGTGCTCCCCATCATTAAACGAAAATTAGTCATCTCATTTCATTAATGTTATGAAACTCATGTGATCGCTAGACGTAAACTGTATTATATTTGTTGTTAATATAAGTTTCTGTAAATAAATCTATCTTTTGTACGATCTTTTTCATTTTGTTACGAAATATATAAGTTGTGTAATGTTTTTTAACTGTTAAGTATGTTCACATAACGTTGGTCCGTAAATGGTACTCGAAAAATACATTAATGTCCGATGAATGCAAGGCTGAAGCGAGTAACGATTCCATCGATCGATATTATGACGGACATGTCTATGTATGGTTGATGTAATCTTAAATCGAGAGATGTGGCTTCAACTTTTGTTTTAAGGCGCGGCGCACTTTTACTTTCCACCGGTCATACATCATTAATTAATCCTTAATTATCTTTATTTGAGTTTGATTTACATAATTGATTGATTATAATAATTATATTTAATACTAATCTAAAATTTCGACAGTGGCCTCTTATAATTTTATGTTTATTTTACTATAGATTCATATTATAATGTATATACAAAAACATATATACAGAGGAATATAGAACCTCCTTTTTGGAAGTCAGTTAGAAAATACTTCTTTATATTTAAAGTTAGTTCATATTTTTACTTTAGATGTTTACTAAATATGTATTAAACGTGTTAGTCATCATATAGCAAGCGAGATCCAGATATTATAATTGCATAACCGTCTTAGAAGAACGGTGGTATAGAACGGCCAGTGGGCAGAGATTTAAGCCAAATTAGCAAATATATCCGATGCAGCTGCACTTTCTCTTGAGCTGTACTGAATCTCATTGCGTAATGCGTTTACGTATATCTGCAAATATGAAGAGCAAAGTCGATATTATGTGAAACTTTAGATTTTATTATAATTTGACTTTGCTTGTACTATAAAATAATATTAGTGTGTATTATATAAACTTTATAAACAAATTTCAAAATAATAATTATTGTAAATTGTAATAAAACTAAAATGTAACAAGTAGTTTAAAATCTGACCATTAATTTCATCTGGAGAAAAAAGTCACCTCTGGGCCCTGGCCTATATTCATATCTATTATAAAATCATATCAATTCGATCCTTCGCTGTTATGTGATACAATCACTATTAAAATAATCACTATTACCTCATACACTCTCGTATTTATACAACTTGAAATGCCACTTTAGACTGTTTAAATTAATATCAATACTTCTATGTAGGAGATCAAAAGTAAGATCGTACTTCGCTCATAATAAATAACCAATTATGTAATTAATTATAATACATATTTTTAACTTTTTATTAATTAATAAAAAAAATCTTAAATTAACAAAAAGTACCTTGTCTAATATATTTAGTAAGTTACTTGTAAAACAAATATAAATCATATGTCCACGATACAATCTGTGTAGAACCCAACTACGATATATATAAACATACAATAAAATTTTAACTGAGGCGAATCTGTGCATTAAATATTTAAAAAAAATCTTATTGAAATAGCTTAAAATAATAGTAGTAAAATTTTTACCTATCTGGCTGTCTGTCTCTCTGTCTATCTCTCTGTTTGTCTATCTGGGAACGCATCACAAGGTAAACACTGGACAGATTTTGATGAAATTTTTATGATAGCTTATCCAGGTCAACATTTAAGATCCTTTTTAAACCTTAAAATATAGGGACGAACCCGAGCGGAGCGATAGTGAGTCGCTAGTTTGCTCATATAATCTTATGAGTAATATAAAACACTTTTTATTCGCTAAGTAGATGGGGAAAGACAATCTTACTTCGGAGCTTAGACTAGATCAGATTATAAATAGTTTCGACATTAACTTACGCATACAATCGTGCTACTCTATTAAATCTGTACCTACACGTTAAAAGTAAGAGTTAAAACGATTAGCATGTCACCTAATGTAAGAATCATGTCATTCTCACTATACGAATGAGGAAACTATGTGTTTGTTAATAACTAGTCGGAAGCTCCTCAGCTGTTTCTGATAAAACTTTCACTGTTGAATAGCTTTGGCTTCCGGAGGACATATTGTGTTATTGTGTTATGCCCCTTTTAATGGTTATTTGATAGGAATACATTTTCTCCCAATCATATATTTAGAATTAATAGCTGTTAAATTATTCGTTAAAAACTTTTTATACAATTTTAGATTAGAGAGTACGTTTAGTTTTTATGTACTTGAAAACAATATATATATTTATTTATATATATATATATATATATATATATATATATATATATTAAAATTTTAATAAAAAAATATTAATTACATTTTATTCTTCACTTTTCCTACTGGAATAATATAGAATTTATAAATTATAAAAAATGTAGGAAATTAAAAAACTTAGTAAGGGATCTATAATAATATAACCTACTATTAGCGATAAAATCTAAGCTATAATTTGTTCAGCGATACGGCCGCCTCTTGTATACAGTTTTAATTTTTGTTTGTGGGTGTACAATAAAGAGTAATTATAATTATAACTACACTGTCTTGGTCTAGCCAGCATGTACTACTGCAAATCCGGAGGTCCTCAGTTCGAGTCCCGGGTCGGGTCAAGTTCAGTTATTTTTGTCAGGAAATTCTCAGGAACATTCCGAAGCTGAGAAGTTGGTGGTTTTTCACCCCCGTGTCTGTGACAAGTATTAATGCCTTTGAGACATCTAAAACCTTAGTTAGTGTTTCCCGTGACCATGATTGCTGTAAAGCATTTAAAACATCGGGAACCAAAAATCAATAAATCCGCAAAATAATTCGAAAAGATAGTTTTTATTAAAAATGTCTAATATTCACGTAAATCTATGAAAGTATTAAAGCTTTGTTTTTAAGACAGAGGAAGCGAGTCTCTACTGTAGAGTACCACAAGTATAATTGGTCGCTTGACACAAATAAGCACTAAGGTGACGAATTGAAAACTTTGTATTTAATTAATCGGATGACAAGGTAATTTATAATTGGCACCATCTAGTTGATTTGATGATATAGAGTTAGAAGGTGAACTGTAACTTGTCAATGGCCAAAATTAAGTCATTTGTATTTCTGCACATTTTATCAATTTATATGAAGCTTATAAATTAAAATTAAATTAAAAACGTGTTTTTTTTTCATAATTAAAACTTTAATATATATTCAAAAATCTTATTGTAATACGAATATAGCGAAAAAGTAGGCTAATGTTTACAGTTTTATTAGAATATTTTTTCTCGATTGGCAACTTTGAATGCTAAATTTAGTATTTTTGAAATGTCAACGTAATCAGTTAATTATTTTAAATTTTGTGATTTAACCTTGGCATCCTAATAGGTGGGCATATTCTAGTAAATAACAAAAGCTTGTTATTTAATAATAATGGTAGTATAATTTAATTCAAGTACCTATTCAAACACCAAAAGGCAGTGGTAGCCCAGTGGTAACGCGCTCGCTTGGGAAACCGAGTGAAGCAAGTTCAAATCCCGGGTCTCGCACGTCTGATATTGTCATGTGCGAATCATTTTCTAACATGATTACCACTTGCCTTACGGTGAAGGAAAAACATCGTGAGGAAACCTGCATGTTTGAGAGAACCTAGCAGGTTTAAGTAAGACATGTGAAGTAAGGCAACCCGTACTTGGCCAGTGTGGTGGACTATGGCCTGATCCCCCTCATATTGAAGGGAGGCCCATGCCCAGCAGTGGGACGTTAAAAAGGGCTGAATACACATCCAAACACCATAATTATGTAAATAATTAAATATCAACCTAGATATGTCCAGTGAAGTATGCGAGCGGGTAATTCATGCGTCGCGGGTTCACTTCATTCATATAGGCGAGATATAGTCAATCAAAAACGAGTTTTTAATTATTTTCAACAAATCGAAATGTCTTAGCAATAAAATAACGAATAATAGCGAAATTTTGAACAAAACTTTTTAATAAATACAACAGTTTACCTCACGCAGGTATCGAACTTTAGATATCTATTGCATTTTACATTGCGCAAGCGCATGCATCGTCAGGGTCATCCAAATTAAGAGTTGCACCACAAAATATATATCAGATATACCTCAAATATTTAATGAAGCGATCTATCAACTACGCAAGACTCTAGATTGTAGTAACGCAAGTTGTTGCCAACATGAAGACACTTCGAGCCCTGTTTGAAATAATTGCTCTGATTATATTTTTCGAACTGAACTTAAAATAGAGCCATTTTTATGAGACAATCGTAGGTGTAATAAGTATAATCATATCATAATGAGAATGTTGTATAATAATGACAAAATTAGTAAAATGTATTAAGAAAGCATCATTTCATACTATTAATAAGTTTTTTTTCTATTATAATTCTTTTCCTTAAATAAGAAATTGACTTCTTTATTTTGATGTATGTATAGAAATTATAATATTCTAAATAAAACTATCTTTTCGGATTTTTTCGCGAAATTATTTTGATTTTTGGTTCCCTAACTAAACCTTTGAGATATCTCCTTTGAGACAGAGTAGGGACCAGAAATCAAAATAAATCCGCCAAAAAATCCGAAGTAAGGTAATAAATAAAGGAACGATAAAATACGAATTTTTGCTAATTATTTTTCATCTATTTTATTTAATCACAAATATTATACATTAATTTAATCAATTGTCAAATTATAATTTAATGATAGTTTTAAAAATGTAATATTTAAATAATTCAAGCACTTTCTCTTGATTCTCCGCAGACTTCTGACTCATTCAATGCAAATTTATGCGATTTTACAAATAAAAAGATCTTCTCATGAACACACTTATTGCATGCAAATATTTATCTCTATAACTTCTTCTGACTCGCGATTTTGCTTGTGCATATATAATACTAGCATTGCCCGCGGCTTCGCCCGCGTTCAGATGACCAAAAACCAAATTCTTAGGTTTTACATATTAGTATAATATATGTGTAAGAGTGTACATTGCAGTTTTTGTATTTTTTCTCAGAACTGAGATCTTTTCCCGCGGTAAACAGTATG